TCGCAACCGAAAGTGCTGCCGCCGCGCCGTGACGTGACGTGACGCGACGCGACGCGCCGCCTAGTTAGCGCTCGGGCCCTGCCTCCGCCATGGCCGCCGCGGCGCTGACGGGGGTTTTCTTCCCTCCCTTTCCAGCAGTCTGTCGGTTCCAAGCATCTCTGTCCTCCCGGAAGACGCCGGAGCCTTTCTGGGGCTAGAGGAAGTGGGATCGGCCTTGCGCTGCCTGCGGCTTCTCGGGCACTTACGGCGGGGCAGAGGGCCGCGAAGCGGACTCGAGGCAGTTCGTCTGAGGGCCGAGACGGAGCCAACCCTGGATCGGGAGATGCAGGCGCGTGAGTGTAGTGGCCCAGGCCGGAAGCCGGGGGGCGCTAGAGCAGCCCCCCTGCTGGGCTGGAGCAGATGAGGCTAGCTCCCCGCCAGTGGGGACGTTGTGGGGAGGCGCAAATCCTCCTGGGATGCTGGGGGGACTGCGAGTTAACTTGAATCTGGAGGGAATCTGGGACAGATGTTTAATAAACCAATTTAATCTAAATCGGCCGAGTCTGATGTAGCATCTATCCGTATTTATCTTAAACTGGTTTCGGCCGTTTATTAAAGTGATTTATGTGCCCTGAACTTCTGGGCTAGGGACAGGCATTACACACAAACCAGTTTCAGTGATCAGAAACTGGTTTAATTCTGTAACGGAGCAGATGTTTCGTGCACATAAACAAGCTTGAAAATGGCAGAAACTGGTTTGAGATGCACCTGGCTGAATGTAGTATCAGACTTAACTGATTTGGCTCAAACCGGTTTATGCAATGTCTGTTCCGGACCCCTTGCTGGTTTAAGATAAGCCAGACACCCCCAGCATCCCAGCATGCTGTCTGGGCTGGGCAGGGCTTCGTGCTCCACTGCAGGGTTGGCCTCCCCTCTGCTCCCTGGCTGGAGCTCAGCACAAACTTGCAGACACAGAGCATCTGCCTGGCTTTTCCCTGCTAGACAGGGATTATTCCCCCATCCCCTCTGCCTTACACAGACACCTCAGCATTAGCTAGCAGACCACACGCTGGCTAAGGTCCCTGCTGTGGGAGAGGACAGAGGCAGACAAGTTTTTTGGAGCTAATCAACAGGTAGCTTAACATCTTTCCTTGGAAGAGCTGTTTAGGAAGAGCCCCATTATTTAATGGACAGAGGCTTTGTTTTGTGAATGAGTTGATAAATACTGAGTCAAGGGTGATAAACTTTTCCTAGGCAACTCAGGAGCTCTGTCCTGCGGAAGGGAAGGGAGAGCTGCTGTAGCACCCCTGGCTTCTAGCCTAAGCCACTGCATGCTTTTGCCTGCAATTCTGGGATGTCTGTGGTTTACAACCTGATTTAGCCCAGTCAAGTTAGACTAACCTGCAAAGATTGAATCAATTCAGGCTCAGGCTTTTTGAATGTCAGTCCATAGCTCTGTTGTCTTACAGACTTGAACTAGTTTTATACTCACTTGCATTGGTCTATGTGCGATTTCTGTCCCTAGCCTTAGTATTTCGTCAATCCTTATCGGGTCTCCCTTTAAGCATCTTTTCTCAAAACTGAATAGGCCTAGCTTCATTAGTCTGTCCTCACATGGAAGCCCATTCCCATCACTCATCCTCCTTGTTGACTTTCTCTAATTCTTCTATATGCTTTGGATTGGACACAGTATTCAAGGTGTAGCTGCACTCAAGTTCTTTGTTCCTGCAAAAATGGTAGGGAACTATCTAGTGCTCCTAGTCTGGGGGCTCGGATTATATGACCTGTGGAAAGCCCTTCCAGCCCAAGTCCTCTGGGCTGGATTCTTGTATCTCTGTCACTGGTGTAACTAACTCCATCTAGCTACATAGGTGCAATCCCCACTTAAATCAACTTTGTGTCCTTTGGTAATTTGCAGCAATAAGGTAAACTGGTTGAGTTTGCCCTAATAATGAGATCTTCTTTAGTTGTCTGCCAGACCAGGTTTTCACTTAATGCCCTGTTCAGTGAATCATTTACATCTGTCTCTTAATTTAAGTTCTCCAAATTAACCAGATTTATTTATTTATTGTCCTTCATACCAAGATTGAGCTGGATTCCTGTGCACAAAAAAGCTATATGAAACACAATCTGTTTGTGAAGGAAGATGTTCGGGGTTGCTTAAAGGGTGAAATAACATAGCCTGCTATTTACAGAACCCTTGGCCACTGGCCTACTAGGTGACATTTGACCATTTATTTGGAATATTCCTGCCTCAGTATCCCCATCTAAAAAGTGGAGCCATGTATTTACCTCGTAGTGTAAAGTGCTTTGTGATGTACAGATATGAAGTGCTGTGTAAATGTTTGGGTTGTTTTGTTTTGTTTTGTGTTTTTTTTTTTTAAGCAACAAAAATTCCTACTGATAACAAGACTACCAAAATGCACTTTTTTTCAGGTGCAGATTCTACTAATCTTCCTGTTGTGCCATTTTTATAAAATTGTTAAAGAGCTTATTGCTACAAACTTACACCAGAAAGTGGGTAAATGGTTTGTATACATGCCATTTAACAAAACACTATGCATGGTGATGCATTTTAACAGCAACAGGCATGTTTCTTATGAAATTACTTCTTATAATACTCAAGATGTACCAATGAACCCTTCAAGAATACATGAGTCTTAACAGGTTGGGTTTTTTTGTTTTTGTTTTTTTAATCTTAATTTTTTTTTCCTTTTTGTATCATCTGGTCAGCAAACTTTCTACTACCCTGTGTTTTTTTGTGCTCAGATTGTTTTATTGCTAATTTTCTGGTCATTCCCCATGACTACTTTATATTCCTATAACAGAAGAAGTCTGTATTCATTCACATGTTTAAGGGGCATTCAGTCTGTAGCTGGAGAGTCCCACACTTTTGAAACTGCTCTGATATTCTAAAGGGATGCCCCAAGTTTCTTCTCCTCAAACCCTTGGTCAACATTACAAAATGTATTGTTTCTAAAAAGTTGAAGTATATGGCCTTCAGGCAGAAGGAAGTAGAAAATTTCACAAATACATGTTCATTTGTTGACAGTGTCGCATAGCAAGAAATAAAATGACTGAACTCAACAAGTAATGCTCAGATGTCACCAACACTTCAAGGAAAAGCTTGTACACATGTATAAGTCTTCCAATTGTCCTCCAAGAATTAAAAAAAATCAAATGGATGTGTCTTGGGACTGTGATTTAGAACATTTACAATGTACCAGGTGATAACCCAGTGGGGAACACTAAAACTACTGCCCAGAAGGGGCTGCATCACCTGGGAGCATGAACAAAACCAAAAAACCCTACATACTTTCTTGCTGCCAAGTTTAACTCTCTACTAACTTTTAAAACAGATTTTCAAAGAAAATGTTTAAAAGAGCATTCCTTAACACCAGATTTACAAGGCACAAGTGCACTATTGAGTAGTATCTGTTTATCTCAGCACCCATAAAACTAGAAAAATACTGGTGGGCTCTTCCCTGCATAGAAACTGTTCTGCACCAATGGGTCCCAGGTGTGCTCCACCTCAAGGTTCAAGAAACTGACTCAAGAGGCATGCTTTAAGGTTTACAGCCTCATTGGTCATTCAGAAAATGTATTAATATAAAGAAAATGAGGCCACAGAGCCTTTCTTCCAAGCCTGGCACAAGGGACAGACTCTCTAGTGGTCTTTATGTAGAGACTTTTTAAAGACAAGGTTGCTGGATTGATAAGTTTGTGAAAGTCATTCTGTCGGGTAATAAACAGAATTTTATTCAGCTGGAGCTTGTGGTGTCTCAAATGTGTGTCTATAGTCAGAGTTATTTAATGGTTTACTAAATGATCTTCAATATGCTGAAAAGAGGATGGTCGCTGGGAATTATTTTTACATGTCCTGCTTACTACTACTTACTGGAACAGGAAAAGATGTGATATCCCCAAGGAACTAATGATTTGGACCATCAGATAAAAGGCTAGAAAGAAAGTGTCCTCCAGGAATCAGTAACATCATCTCAAGAACTGAATCAGCATGTAAACAGGCTCTTCTACACGACAACAGAAATTGTGACAAAGGTAAACAAACAGTGAAAAAGTGCTCCAAATAATGAACCTGCCTTGTCAATTTAAGGGTACTAGTACCAAGGAGTATTATTTTAGCGTTAGGCATCTTGAAGCAAATTCATCCCCAGAGTTGGGCGGTTGTAGTTAATCTTCTTACACCAAAGATGACATGCCCCTTGTATTTTTGGTTTTGATTTTATTCTAGAGCTTTAT